GGTGGTTGAGTTTTACTTTCTTCAAGCGTACCTTGATAAAGAAGCAAGAAAAAATATTACTAGAGTTCAAGATGCTTTTTATAAGATTTATGAGGAATATGCTTATGAGTATCAATTTGGCATCAGTATAGTGGTGAAACTCAAATGCATGATAGTGGTATTAAAAGCTTTTTCTTCTAATTGGTTTGAATTTGCAAATTCTGTAAAATTAGTTGAAATTGCTTAACCACAACAATCTGATCTAGATATCTACTTAGCTTAGGGTTATTTTATCTGTAAAAGAGATTCCACTAAATTTGATGCTTTAGAATGGTAGAAAGTAAGCACTTTGAAGTATCGTATTTTATCTAAAATGACTCGGGATATACTTGCTATTCTTATTACTACAGTGGCTTCAAAAGCTATCTTAGTGCAAGAGGTAGAGTTATTGATACTTATCATGCTTCTTTAGCTCCTGACACAATAGAAGCATTACTTATAGAAGAGATTGGTGTCGAAAACTTCATAAAGTAAAGAAGAAGAATAAAGTGAGTTTTTTTTTTATTATTTTGTTATTGGGTGACTATTATTACTTTAATTTAATTTTTAACTATTATTTTCTTTTACTTTATCTATATAGAAAGTGAAGAAATCAATTGAAATTGCACTCAAAATCCCCTAAAGTGAGGATTTCTAGTGTTTTTTATACAGGTATAAAATATTATTACAAAATACCTTTAATTTGTCGTAATATTACTAAAGAAAAATATGTGGTAACTAGTCTAGATTGAGTTTTTTGCATTATAGTTTACGAACTATAGGTTAACTAATGACAAAAACTTATGTTAAAGCAATTGACAAGACACTGTCTATATTTTTTTGCTTTGATTATAAGGCTACTGACAAGATATAGTCCATGTTTATACTAATGCTAAAAATTTTAAGTTATTGATTATTGTAATAATAACATAATTTTTTTTTTGCATGGGTGCTTCTACTATTATTCTTATTGTTAATTATAATTTGTTTGTTTTGTAGTTATTCTTTTGTATAGGTTTGTTGGAAAACAATATAGGCCCAATGTTCATTTGAAAACATAATATTGCGAAGGCAGTATATATATATTATTGTTGGTTTGTTGTAACTTATTTATGGACTTATTTCCTTGGATATCTGATTTCTTTCAATTAGGACTTTAATTTCTAAGTTTCATTATATCTTTTATTTGTGTGTTGTATTGGAATTATTTGATAAGACTTTTATATGCGTGAATTTTATTGTTGTGTAAGTTTTTATTATTATTGTTGTTGTTGTTATTACTATTATTATTGTTATTATCTTGAAAATATAATATTTATTAAGTTTAATAAAAAATAATTGTAAAAGATCTCGAACTCAAGCTCTCGTTCTTGATCTTGAGCACAAATAATTGAGCTTTTGTCAAGTATAAGAATCGAGCTTATTTTTACATATTTAAATAGCCTAATCAAGCGAGCTTGAATAATTCGATTTCGATCACGAATCGAGCTCGAGCTAGAAAACTGAAACTCAATCGAGTTTGAGCCGAATATTGAGTTGCGAGTTAAAAATCAAGCTCGAGCTTTTCACTGTATCGTATTGATTCGACTCGATTACACCCCTAGATATAAGCAAGGAGTATGACATGGTGGAGTGATCATTCCTTGAGTCAATGATGATGAAGCTGGGATTCTATGAAAGATGGACAAGAATGATTATGCGATGTGTACAAACAGTTTCTTACTCAGTTATGGTGAAATGGTGAGGTCTCAGAAAATTTTACTTAGAACGTGGTCTTCGTCAAGGGATCCTCTATTGCCATACCTCTTTTTATTGTGCACTAAGGGTTTCTCAGCTTTGCTATCTAAATATCAAAGGAAAGGTTGGATCAATGGTGTAAGAGCTAGTCAAAATGCTCCTAAAATGAACCACTTTTTTTTCGCGGATGATAGTTTGCTCTTATTTAAGAAAAATGAACTGAAAAGTGATAGGGTGAGATACATTCTACAAAAATATGGAGAAGGTTCGAGCCAGTTTGTCAATTTTGAAAAGTCAATGTTATTTTTTAGTAAGAATACTCTAAGGGATGTAAGAGAGGCGATAAAGCAGCAATTGGGGGTCAATGCTACTAATGATCCAGCGAAATATTTGGGGTTACCTTCGATGGTTGGAGGAACAAAAGAAGATCTTTCAGGGACCCGGTTAGTAAAATAAAAATGCAGATTCAACACTGGAGCAAGAGATGGCTATCCAAAAGAGGAAAAGAAGTTTTTATCGAATCAGTGTTGCAAGCTATACCAGCATCTGCTATAAGTTGCTTCCTTCTTTCAAAAGATTTTGTGAAGAAGTTAATAGCATAATAAGCAATTACTGGTGGAGCTCAAAAAAAGACAAGAGGGGGCTGTATTGGTTAAAATGGAACAGGGTTTGCCTATCAAAGAGTGAAGGGGGAATGGGATTCCGAGATTTCAAATGTTTTAACTTAGCACTACTAGGAAACGGGGTTGGAGGTTGGTAAAGAATAATGAGTCCATGTTTTACAAAGTGTTATAAGCAAAATACTTCCCTGAAACAGACTTTCTAGGAGTGCCACTTGGGTCAAGGCCCTCACTCACGTGGAGAAGTATATGGTCCGCCCAAGAAGCATTGAAAGAAGGCTTAAGATAAAGAGTTGGGGATGGTTCAAAGATTCGGGTATGGCATGACAAGTGGTTACCAGATGGTTGACTGTTAGTGTATCCACGTCAACAGAATATCCTGGCGGAGGAAGCACTGGTGGAAGAATTAATTGAGAGCCAGGGTAAGATATGGAAGAGGGAGTTCGTTCACGAAGTCTTCGGGAAGATGTGATAGATCTCATTTGTAGTATACTGCTTGGCCACTTTGAACACATGGATGAGCTTGTATGGAGTGGGTATAGAAAAGGTGATTGCACTGTACGGAGTGCATATCATACAATTGTGCAGAAGCGGGTGAGGACATTAGCACAGCCACCACAAACAGGATAGAATGCATGGAGTAAATGCGGTGAAATGTTGGAACCGAATTTGAAAAATGGGAACACTGGCGAAGACTAAAGTCTTTGGTTGGAGACTGAATCATGGAATCTTGCCAGTTCTATGTAACCTAAGGAAACACAACATTGATACTTGTACAATCTGCCCTCAGTTTGGACAACATGATGAAATGGTGATACATGCTCTAAGGGATTGTGAGAAAGCACAGGACACTTCGATATCGGCTGGAGTTGATAGTAGGTGGTCATGTACCTCTCATGCAGAAGACAAAGAATGGCTTATCAGCTTAGCAAACTCTATGGATAGCGAAAGCTTCGAAAGGGCCGGTGATCTACTGGGCTCTATGGCATAGTAGGAATCTAGTAGTGAAAAAGAATGAATCAAGAACTGCTTAAGCAACTGCTTGCTTTGCACTCAGTTACCTGGATGAGTTCAAGAGGGGCTAGGAAAAAACGGACAAAGGGAGAATATTATAAGCTGGAGACCGCTACCAACTCACATTGCCGAAGTTAATTTTGATGGGGCGCTAAACTCCACAAATGCAACAGGTGGTGTTGGGCTGGCGGCACGAAACTACAAGGGGGAAGTCTTGGGTTCGGCTTCAAACAGAGTAGATGGGAGTCAGGGATGCTGAGGTGATTGAAGCCTACGCTGTTGTGGCTGGAATCAGTTTTGCCAGAGAGCTAGGACTTACGTCAATAATACTGGAAGGTGATGCAGCTAAAATTATCTCAAAGCTTTGGCAGCAGACAAAGGACTTGTCGGCAGTGGGTAACATCCTGGATGATGCAAGGACGTTAAAACAAAACTTTAGTCGCATTGAGGTAGCGCATGATAGGTGACATGCGAATGAGGCTGCACATAAGCTAACTAGGTTTGCCTTAGAAATGGTGAGTCATAGTGGGTGGAAGAATATCCCCCCATCATACATGATATTATTAGAAAAGAATGTGTAATCCGCCAGTTTGATGCTTAATGAAGTTTTCTTTACTCTCAAAAAAGAAAAAAAAATGCTTCACTCTTAAACAAAATAATGCACCCTTAATATCTCTTGAAGAACTTTTTTTATATCAAGATAAAATAAAATATTTATTCTTTAATAAATATACTTCTAATCTTATTTCCATAATTAGGGTATTTATACCACGTCATCTGATTTTTTTCCTATCTCCACCACAATCAAACTTCCCAAACTCTCGGAGTCCCAAACTCTCGGTGACCTCCTAGTGATCTGCTAATCTAGAGCTGACTATAAGGGAGGATATATGTGGTCCACACTCTCCTCCCTCCACCTCTTCTTTAGATCAAAACATGAGCTGTAAAGTTATTTTTCTTTTTCAGGGATTAACGACGGGAGCAGACTGCAGAGAGATAAAGAAAATTTTCCAAACCATGGCAGCGTTGAAAAAAATGCCACATCTCTTTAACTTTTCAAAAACAAAGTTAAGATGCTTCTTGACCCAAGTGGGATGACGAGGAGCATGCCTGTTGCGCGAGGTCAGATTGAAAACCCAGATCAAAAGTAGAAATTAGACATCAAGTTTCTTCAACGAGAACAGAGGAGGATTTTCTATGGGGATTCTTTTGACCTCCGAACAATTCGGATTGATCAGCTTTGACCTTTTCGGGACAATATAGCTGATCTTTTCAGGACAATAGAGAATCATGAAACTTAAGCCGATGAGTCGAATCATAAAACTTAAGTCGATTAGTCGATCCGTAAAAATAGAAGTGCAGATTGGAAGCAAAAAGAAGAACCAGAAAAAGAAAAGAAAATTGGGGCTGAGAATCATAAATCAATTGGTGTTGGTGTCGATCTCCTACCTTTGCTTCAAATAAAAACTAAATTAGAAGTCAACTTTGCTTAATGAACCAAAGGCTTCAACTATCTGTAACTCATTTCTTGAAGGGAGAATTACATCCTCATAAATTTTAGACATATTCCCGGTCGTCTTATAAAAAAGATGTTAAATATATAATATATATGATTTAAAAATAGTGCCACAATTTAGTAAATTTGCCCATAATGCTCAGAATTTCAACTATAACTGCAATATTGCAATATTACAAGAGAGTTCAATGGACACAACAGATTCTCAAATCAATGTTCCTAGTACACCCAGGTGTCATGAAAGATTAATCATTGCCTCTTTGCACAGGCTCAAAAAAAAACAATATCCATTCCAATGAGATGGAAACCAAAGTAATATAGAAAAGAGTTAAAATACCAATCCCAACAAAAATACAAAAATCTCCATACCATTTTATTATTCTTGAAAATTTGAAGGATAGCAAATTATCACTATGCATGATGGTGAACACCATCCTCACCTTCCTTGTCTTTACGTGCAGCAGCTCTTAATTTACGTTGCTCCTCCTTATAAATTCGATTTCTTCGTTGAAACTGCAATAATTTCAAGATTGACCACAATGAGTATCAATACACCAAAGATCATGGGATGAAACCAAAATATCTAAATTCTATTTATGATGCCATGTCCTGAAAAGTAATGTGTCATTTTCTTTACCATAGACCTAAGCTCACATCTAAAAATGTTTCAGAGAAGAGAATGATAAAAGCAAGATGAACTAAATATACACAAGCTCCATTATCCTTCACGATTATGTATTCAAACTAGCTGCCTCTGCAAAACCACTAAAACGCCATTAGGTAGAGAATATATTAGACTTTTTTATGATAAATCACACCTATCATAACTTGACATCATTTTTCTCTCGTGACACTGTTTCATAGGTTAGAAAAAATTGACATCCTTTAAGCAAAACCACAAATATAGATGCTATAATTCCAATATACTCACCAAATACACATAAAACTGTATGAACATGAGGTTTAACAAATTCCCTAACACTGCCTCAAAGTCACAACCATATTGACTCAGATATCAGGCATTGTAGCTCTAATACCTTTTGAACTACACACTCTATGTGTGCAGGATACTAGTAGCAATTAGGGTGGAAAAGCATACATTTATCAACTTGAAACAACATAAATATAGTAGCAATTCAAGACTCCTTTGAAGGCCCCTAATGACATTGTGTCCAGGATATGCTTAATGTATCACTCTACCATGTGCCACATCTTTGAATTAACTATGTCTAAAGAAGTTGAATTTAAGCTCTATGCTGCTGCAGTTTATATGAGTTAAATTACACATAAAGCACATCTATACACAACTCAAGATTCAATATATTACACCATATCTCCCTTTTTTTCCCCTGCTTTTAAGTTGATGCTACACTTCCTCTTCTTGAAACTGACTTACATGGAAACAAATTTGGCAGATTGCCCATCTATAAGGAATAAGGTACCAATAGAAAAGGAGGAGTGAAAAAAAAAAAAATTCCAATTACCCAATTCTGGATCCAGAAAGTAATTGATGAATACGAGGAACGAATTAGAAATGAAAAGAGTGATTCTGTAGAGAAGTATTCACACTAGCTCCATGTATCTACACTACATCGTGAGAGGAAAATCAGCCAGTATTAAGAGTCATATTACCAATTACCATGAAAAGTTTAAAGCAACATAATAAGGGGAGATGAATTCTCAAACTAATTAAAGCTATCTATAACTGGATCATAATTGATCCTAGCCGCAGCACTAAGACATTAACAAAGCACCTGATATTAATGATTCATAAGCAACACTGGGCTCATCAATATGGATCCAGCTTACCTTTTTCTCAAATTAGGGATAGCCAGAATCTAAACATGGTACAAATAGCAGAAACTTGGGTTCAGAATCATTATTGAAACAAAACAAAGCACCATTACTCATTTGCAAACCTAAATAAAGTAATTGAGCCAATTCCAGCCCAATTTGAAGTCTTGAGGACAACTAGCAGGGCGTGAAATTCAGTTAGCTCAAGATCAATATTGAACAAAGCATGAAATTCAAGGAAAAAGAAATAATTAATGTATCCAGAGTAATTATAGTTAAAATTATAATGCGATGGATTAAGAAATGATAAAAGAAAACTAATTCGACCCTCCATTGACAATAATACAAAAGGATTAGGGTTTTGGGAACATTTCAAAGGCAAAGATTAAATGCAGAAATCTTGGAATTGAAGCGAAAGGAAATTAATTAAAAACTTCAAATTGAATGAAGATGCGAAGAGAATTACCTCTTTGGAATGGTGGAGGCACTCGAGATAGTCTTCACGGAGGAGAGCACAGTCCTTGGGCTCTCTGCAAAGGGACATACACTCGCTGAAGTCGACCCAGAAGTCGTAGCACCTGCCTTTGTTTCCATTAATTCCCCAACCAGATGCCATCTCTCTCTTCCGTTACCTGTCTGGTCTGCTCTATCAAATGGAGTATGTATTCAAGTAAACCGTTCAACTTGATTTTGCCGAGAAGCAATGTAAACACAAAACACACTAGTTTAGGGCTTCTAAATACATAGCAAAATTTGTTCGATACACGTCCAAAATTTTCTGCCAACGCGGAAAATACCAATTCTAACCTTTACTAATGCTAAAATACCATCACAAATTTATACATCCCAAAACTATCTTCTTAAATCTTAAAATTGAATTTATGAAAGTTAAATTATATTTTCGGTAATCTATTTTCAAAAAAGATATATAATTTTCAAAAATAAAATTTTGAGAACTTAATATAACTCTTGAAAATTCATTTATAGCATTATATTATGTTTTTAAAATAAATTTTTGATAATTATATTGTATTTTCAAAATTTATTTTAAAAAATACATAAATTATTATTTAATTATAAAATTTTGATAATTTTTAATTTCAATTTAAATAAAATAAATATATTTAAATTTAAAATAAATAATATTAAAATAAATAAATCTGATGTGCTCGAATTTTCAAACATCTCTAATGATTTCTTTGAGTTATGACTTAATTTCGATAATACGAATCTATTTTTAGATCACTGGTATCCTCGTGGTTGAAATATATTGGTGGCCAAAAAAATTAGAGTTTCTTACTTTCGGATTTGTCAATCTTTTAATGACACTATCAAAGTCAATGTTGTATAAGGTATTTGAGCTCAAACTTGCATGCATGCATATACATGAGTTATGATGTACTCATTCTTACTTGATTATATGTGCGAATAGAATATACATGATAATTATTAAGCACTTATAGGTATAAAAGTACTTTTATCTTGAGATCAGAAAATCGACAATACCTTGTTGCCTATGTAAAATCAAAAAATTTAGAAAATGATGTTTTTTAGTTTTTAGAGTTTCAAGAGAAAGAACAAGTTTATATTATGCATGTTAAGAAAATCGATTTCAATTTTATTTGCTTATATGATCAAGTAAATGAGCTCATAAATGCATGATTAAGGTTTTTAGTGATTAAAAGTGAAATCAAGTTTTTCAAAAATATATATAAAAAAAAACTCAAAATTTTTTAAAAATAAATATTAAAAAATTCTTAAAGTTTTTCAGATATCCATTTTAAAAAAATTTCAAAATTTTTCGGATATTCATTTTTAAGAAACTCGATATCAAGAAGTGAAGAATGAATAAGAGAGAAATGGTAGGAATGGAACATAAAGAGTGAAAAGTGGAGGTGTATTTAGTATAAATAAAAAATTTAAATTTAAATTTAGGATATAGTTAAAAGTGGAGTGTATAAAGTAGAAAGTGAGTGTAAATATAATTCCCCCCACAGTTTCAGGTGGTTGCTAAATGACCAAAATGCCAGATGGACGGGTTTACAGGCTACCCGTGGACCATGGGTGGGTCATCTTTCCATTTTCGAAGTAATAATCAACCCGTTGGCCATTGTGGAGTATCATATTTATTTTTTAGTGGACAACAACAAAATGCATTTATAAAACTATTTTCCTTTTGTTCTACTACTAGAACTAGTAACAATTTTAGACGATACCATTCTTTTTCATTTTTTTTTATTTAAAAGATCAAAATTTGATTACTGAAATTAATGAAAAATTGATATCATTATAAACTTTATGTTTTTAAATTTTGTTTTTTTTTGTTTTCATTTTATTTTTAATTTATTGAATTTAAAAATATATTTAAATAGAATGTTTTTGTTGAATAAATTTTAAAATGAAACTCATAAGAGGAAGTGATTAAAGTGTTAAATTATAAGAGCTTAAGGGTTTGAACCATTCAATATAACTTTCTTATTTTCAAACATTAAAATTTTAACAAACACTGCAACAATAACAATGCTAAAAACGTTTCTAAAAATTTGAAAATATTAATTTATTTTTAACAATTTTCAAAACTTTCCAAAACAAAAATAACCTATCAAACACCTTTTTTTTTTTTTAAATTTCCAAAAAAAAAGCATAAAACACAAAAAAAAAACAATATTGAACTGTTAGTACTTTGCTTCTTTGCTTTGAATTTCTTTTTGTAAAAAATATATGGACAAAAAAATATTGTACTATGTAATAATTCTCTTGCAATGAAAAGTAAGAGATTGTTTTCAAATGAAAAAAAAAAATCAAATATCAATAACACATAACACTAACATTGCATTTGGTAAAAAAGGAAGAAGAACGAAAGAAAAAAAATTAGAGATAGAATTCACTACAAAATGTGGATACCAAATCTTCTCCGTAGATAGCAATGTACATATCATATTGATTTTTCAAGTGCTTTTTTTTATAAGAAAAAAATTTAAGATAAATAAATTATTTAATTTTTTATATAAAATAAGATACATTATATTTGACAATCTAAAACAGATAATTGTAGATCGTACATTCAATATAGCTTGTACTGCAAGTTTTATTATATGTGATTTAGTTCAATTTTATGTTGAATTTTTTAATTATATTTTAATTTGTTAATTAATTTATTTGTTTATTATTTAGTGATTTTTTATACATAAAAATAATATTTGATTATAATTATAATTTATATTTTTATTAAAAAAAGTTATTGCAGTTTTCTTTTCTTAAATAAAAAGATTCATTATATATATATATATATATATAACTTTAGATTAAAAAATCCCTAAAAGATCCTAGAGTTGACATATGTCTGTTTATATCGTTTTCTTATTGAAGTGTTGTTTGTCTGTTTCTAGAAGTTTGGATTTGCTTTGTATTGGTTCAAAATCAACATTAAATGAGATTTGAGAATATATATATATATATATATATATATATATTCTAGAAGTTTGGATTTGCTTTGTATTAGTTCAAAATCAACATTAAATGAGATTTGAGAATACATATATATATATATATATATATGGCACGAAATACAACAATAGTGGTATCAAGTCTACGTAAGGCTTCATGTTGTTTTTAGGTCAATGATTATGTAACCTAAAAAATAAGCTTAGGAAAAAAACTAAGAGCATATTTACAATAAAATAAAACAGTGGTGATGAAAAGTGTAGATCAATATTTTATTATTTTATTACAAAAACTTTTCAAGCACTGATAAATATACACTATTTATTTTATTATTTTATTATGCTGTTTTCATATCAGTGATTACGTGACCTCTAACTCCAATCAGTTTTTGAAATCATGAAAAAGATAATGTATAAGAAATATCTAAAAAACATAATCATGTAAAAAAAAAAAAGCCTAGAAAATAAAACTAAGAGTAGTGTCCTATTTTTGGGTCTGCTAGATTCAAGCAGTCTATTTGGTGACGGAAAGCTTTAGTTTTGTGAGTGTTTGAAGTTATTCGATTGAGCGACAGTTGTCACGTTACATGTAGGATTAAAAGGATGTGGTAATGCATGAAAAATAGAAAGACACATGTGATATGTCATTGCCAGAAGAAAAAAAAAATGAGTAGAAGGTTCGAAAAATGCACATGGGTAGAAAGTTTGGAATAAACCAAGGAGGGAAGGGAGACCAGTAAGGAAAGACAATGGAAAGAAAGGGATAGAGAGAGAAAAAAGAATTGAAAAAAAATCTCCTTCCATTTTGATATTTTATTTTTATTTTAATTATATTTTAAATAATTTAAATTTTTATGTTCAATTTTTATTATTTAGTTGAGATTTTATTTTATTTCATTTCATTGTTGTATTTTTGCAGATAAGGCATTGATTTCGATTATAATTTTTTAAGTATTTTAATTTTTTACCTCTTTTTATTTTCCTATTTCATGCTATTTCCCTTTATTTAAGATTTTATTGTCTATTTCCTTATTTGATGATATTTCTTTGTTTAAGTTATCCTTTGACCTTTTTAGTTCTTTGTTAGATTATAAGATATTTTCAAGAAGGCCATATGAAAAAATTTTCAACTATTTCCAATAGGTTCTAAAAGATTATCTAGCCATTCTTTGGCTCCAAGGGATTTTATGTAGAAGATTACATTTGATTATTTTTTACAAAAAAAAAAAAAAAAAACTATATTTGAAGTAGTGGATTCCTTTTGATCTATTTATTAGAAATCCCTAAGGATTCTTATTCTGTTGTAGTATTTTGGTGCAAAGCAAGGCAGAGGAAAGGTTCTTGAATGGTCCACTGTAATTTCTATCATTAATGGTGTTGCAAAAGGTTAGTTATCTTCTTAGTCACTAAGATTGTACAAATATTTTTTACTTCATCATTTTCATTTGTAAAACTACATAAAAGTATGCCTAATGAACATCATATATCTAATAATGCTCTATTACCATAATATGGTCTAGTTGTATGAGTTGCATTATTTCAACAACTATTATAAACATCTTGCTGCTTTTTATTTAAACATGATATTTCCTTTGATGGTACATTTTTAACTTGGAATAACTTGATTGATTAAAATGGATTGCAAGTGAAAGTTTTTCCTTATTGTGTTGAGTCATATTGTTATTAAAATGAGAACGAGTGGTGACAAAAAGGATAAAGAAACAGATATATTAATGTTTGGTGTAATGATCTGTCTACATTTATAACAACATGTCATCACCTCATGAAACTTTAAAAAACTCGTATTTAAACCCTATACATATACTCAAGGGTGGTGATAGTAATGATATATATGATCTGTGTGATTATCTATTTCTTTTTATCATATAATATATGCTAAGGTATTGTATCTTGACAGTTGGTCAAGGAATTGTTGCTCAAATTTGATATTTGGTTTGTAGATTTTTTAGTTCAATATCTTCAATGATCTTTATTATTGAGTATTTCACTGGTTCATAAAAATAAATATCAAATTAATCCAAGACTCTTTCCGTTCCAGATAGGGACCTACAATAGAAAGTTCAGTTATTTGCGAAGGCAAAAATAAAGCTTTCTCTACTGATTGATATCGTTCACTGAATGAAAAGAATCTTAATCCAACCTACCATTGCATCTTATTCAAAACAGGTCCAACAAAGTTCGAAGTTATGGTATATAATGGCAACTGGTAATCGATAATTCACCTGAACTGCATATGTTTTTCTAAGAAACTTTTCGTACTCATCTCCGACTAGCTTTCTCGACTTCCCT